CGGGGAAGGGCAGCCATCCCCACATGCTCAGGGCGGCCCTTGGCCGCCTGGTGGGGGAAGGGCGAGGAGGGCTCCCGAGTTCCCTCTGTGTCCCTGCAATCATCTGTCACCTCAATAACCATAATAACAGTAGCACGGATTGGGCACTTGCTGTCGGCAGGGCCCGCTGCAAAGCGCTCCTCCGAGAGGAGAATCGTCACACTTAATCCTCACCGCCGTCCTTTGAAGCAGGTGCTAGCGTCAGCCCCACTTTGTGGGTACAGACATGGGGCTCCAGAAGTCCCGTTCTCATTCGGAGCACTTGGCCCAGTTTGCACTCGTCCCTTCTCATATTATGTCATTCATCTCCAGGTCCCCAGCTGCACTACAACTCAGAGTGAGAAAGACAGTGTAGTCTGTTCACACCATTCGCTCGGCACAGCACAGATATTCACATGAGGAAACCCCAACTGTTGAGGGCCAAAGTTGAGTTAAAACCCCAGGCATCTGGCCCCAGAGCCATACCATCACCACCAGCCACCCTCCATAGTCCCCACTCCCTGTCCCCAAATCCCAGGGAGGGGACTAGGGAGAAGATGCTCTGAGCAGGGTCCAAGAGGGCCTGGCCGGTGCCCAAGTCCTCATCTCCCAAGCTCTCTTCTGCCCAACCTGAACCCTCAACCTTCAGTTTAAGCTCCTCAAATAACAACTGGGGCCAGCGTGGTGACACCACAAGCTAAGCCACCACCTGTGACATCAGCAGCCCATAGGAACATCGATTCAGGTCACAGACACTCTGCTTCCCATCCAGCTCCCTGCTAATGCGCCTGGGAAAGCAGCAGAGCACAGCCCAGGTGCTTGGGCCCCTGCACCCACATGTGAGACCCAGATGTAACTCCTGGCTCCTGGCTTCAGCCAGTTGGGGCCATCCATTGGATGGAAGATAACTGGTTCTCTCTCTCTCTCCCCTCTCTCTGTTACTCTTTCAAATAAATAAGTCTTTGTTTTCATAAGTCTTTTATATAATAATGATAACATCACCCAAGGTCTGGATCACAAAGGATTTCACAAACCTGGCCTGAAGGTGGAACCCCAGCCATGTGCCACGCCTTGGGCCACACCTTCCACGTGCATTCTCTCACTTCCTGGTCCCTATCAACCTGAAGAGCTGCCCTGAGCCCCTTTTACACACAGAAATGGGGTCTCAAAGTAGGTGGAGGGACTGCATGGAGCCTAATGCCAGTATTCAGCCACAAGCCCAGGGCTCCGGCTACCGTAGCAAAACCTAAGAGAGCAGGAGCCGCTCACCCCTGCACAGCAGTCTCCACATGGAGGTATATTCAGAGAGCCCAGGCCAGCCAGGTCCTGGTGGCAGCCACTGCTTACACGGCCCCCGACCTCCCTCACCACCGCCATCATCCCATCAGGACCTGGAATTCCAATCACGCTCCAGGGCAGTCTCGCTTGGCAGTAACCCTCCCCGCCCCCCAACCCTGTTGAATGGGACCACAGAAATCATGGCCTCCCCAGGCCTCCGCAGCATGGATGGAGCTAGGGCAGGTAGACAAATTGGCCAGGAGGCAAGGGACAGAAAGAGTGGCCCCACAACCTGACAACCAGCAGAATGTGCTGGCCGGGGGCTAAACAGCAACCAGCAGGCCTACCTTCCCAGGGACCCCGCCTGCCTCTCTCCACCCTGGGAGATCTCTCAGAGGGCCAGGCAGACACCTCTTCCCTCTCTGCATCCCAAGAAAGATTCCGTGGCCAGCTGAAATACACACTCCCAGGGTGGAGGGGAGAAGCGATGTTCACACACACTGTACTCTGGTCACATTGTCCTGAACAGCCTAATCCAAAAGATTTTAAATTTGTTTTCATTTTATTTGAAAGGCGGAGAGTCAGAGACCTTCCAACTGCTGGTTCACTCCCCCGAGTGCCCCTGACAGCCAAGGCTGGGCCAGGCTGAAGCCAGGACCCCAGAACTCAAATCAGGTCTCCCACGTGGGTGGCAGGGACCCAAGTACTTGGCCATCACCTGCTGCCTCCCGGGGTTTGCATTAGCAGGACGCTGGAATCAGAAGTGAAGGAGCCAGGATTCCAACCCAGGTACTCTGATGTGGGATGCAGCTGTCCCAAACACCTGCCCCGAATTTTGCTTAATTCCACTGAAAGCCAAAGGCTGTGAGTGGAAGACAAAGAAAGTTGACACTGACACTCCAGTGGCGTGGTTCGATGGCTCTGAGCCCCGGCCCTGGGAACAGGAAGCCACCCAGGCCTCCCTGCATCTGCATCCTCATTGTTTCCAGGGCAGGGAAGCCTTCGCCACCTCCTCCCCACCGGCCAGCCGCCCGCAGCCCCTCTGGCTGAAGCAATTTCCTTGGCAGCTCCGGGCGACACAACCTCTTCCCAGAAGCGCCCGCAGCAAACCAACGACAATTTCCTCCCACTCGGTGGAGGGGGCCAGATGGGGGGCAGGCCTGGACCTGGACTTATGGAATCTGTGCTCATAAAGTCGCAGGGGCTCCCAGGCCGCCGCACAAACTGCCCCAAGGACAAAGGCAGATGCGCAGCTGCAGTCTATAAAAATTTCACGGCCGCAGAAGCAGCCGCGGCTGCAGGCTGGGATACCGCACGACACCCATATTGATTAGAGAGAGCATTTGCCACAGTTATTTGGAGTCTGCCTGGGCACGCACCACGGCTCTAAAAGAACGTTCTTTCCCTCTTCAAATGGCTCTCGCATGGCCTGCCCTGGAAAAGGCATCTGCTTTCCACATCTGGTCCCTGCCCCGGAAGCTGCACACGGACAGCAAAGATCAGGCCCATCCCAGCCCCCGGAATAACTCACCCCTGGGTTCCCGCCAGCAGCCTCTCCAGCCCCAGGTGCCCCTGTCTGCCCATGTCAGGCCCAGCACACTCTGCCCTCTGCCTGCATTGCCTATCCCCTGAGCTCGGCAGGATCCAAGCCTATACTGGCAGGATGGCCCATCTTCTGAGAAGCCCATGTTCTCACAGCCCTGTCACGGTGCCCGCCCGGCCCTCTCCCAAACCTCCAGGCCACACGACTCGTGAGGACAGGGACAGGCTCATGCCCTGCTGCAGCCTCCATGCGCAGGTGGTTCCTGGCTCCGTAAACATTTACTGAATTAAATAATGAAACATCTCCCCTGTCCCATCCTAACCATGCTCTCAGAGCACGCATCAGAACACACCTGGCACTCCTCATCCACCATCCCCCACACTCACAAGAACCCAAGAGCCCCATGTATCCCCAGCCCCATTTTCCTGATGCAAAGCAGCTAAGGCTCAGAGAAGGGAACTAACTTGTCCAAGGCCACGCGGCTAATAAATGGCAAAGCGGGAACTCCCAGAGCCCAAACTCCTTCTTCTGCACTAGGATTTTTCACTTCCATCTTGCTCTGGTTGCAAAAGACTAGAGAGTTCATGGGAGTCAAAACAGACAGTGTCCTTTAACACTAAAGGCAGTAAGAGAGCCAGGGTGCAGGAAGCGCCCTCAAGATTCAAGATCCCAAGGCAAAGGAAGAGGGGCTGATGCGCCCCAGGGCACAAGGCCGGTGAAACGGGGCGCAGACCCAGAGGGAACAGGCACAGCGGCTGCCCAGGCCGCCTCAGGGGTCCCCGGGGCACACTTCTGACCCTCCATGCCTCTCCGGGGCCAGCACAGGCTGCCCCCAAGGAAATCGGGTGCTCCTACCGCTCCCCTGCCCTCCAACATGCACGCTCACGCACGCACACCGATTCCCATCGAGATGGCAAATTCTCTCAAACCTCCACGGGAATTTTCCCGACGGCCAGGAAGACACGGAGGCCAATATGTACTCGCTAATTGCTGGCCTTGGGACAGCGTTTGATCCGGGAGACAGCTCTCCCTGGAGTCAGATTTCTGCCTCTGACCAGCTGGGAGCCATGGAAATGTGCTCCAAAGTCATCGAAATACGCCCGCCTTTCCCGAGAGCCTCTGCAGGCTTCAGATGAGCCCGCAGCCTTTCCCCAAACCGCCTTCAAACAGTGCTGCGAGCAGCCCAGAAGCCCTGCCTGTGACCCCTCTGCACACGCGGGCCTCCACTGCAGAGGTGGCCTCTTGGACGCCAGGACCTCCCACGGTCGCACATTCTGGAGGCAGTCCCAGCAAACAAATTATACAGGACACACACACACACACACATCCTCGCTTAGCAGGTCTCAAAGGGTCGTGTCCCGTCCCCCCCCCCACCAAGGATCCAGAAGTGGGAGATAACAGCAGAAGAGAAATGAGGTTTTTGTGGCTTGCTTTGGTCCTTTGAGCTTGGGCCCCGCCCCAAGCCCCTGACCTCTGGGTGTTACTATGAGTCAGGACTCACCTACTCCTCTCTGGGGCCCCAACTTAAGGCCTTCCAAGCCCTCCGGCCCCATTGTCTGCGGGGTCGGGATGGTTGGGTGTATGGGGAGGGGGGAGAGGGGAACCAGTGCCAGGCACCTGCAGGGAGAGAATTCGCCAAGCTCTGGGGCAGACAATAGGGAGGAAGGGGGAGACCAGAAACTTCGGCTTCCTCCCACCACGCTCCCCCTCTGCAGGCAGCAAGCCTGGCAGCCCAAACCCCCACAACTGGCTCGGAACATGGTCCCAGCCCCGTGTGCCCAAACGGAGCCGCTGTGCCCCGCGAGCGTGGGAAGCGGCCCTCCTGGGGGCCAGGCAGGCTTTCCGCCTCCGCGAATTCGCCCGCACCCTGGAGTAACCCGGCGCCGGCGCAGGGGGCAGGGCCTGCGGGTGCGGAACGCAGAGGGCAGGTGTGCGCCGGGAGCTGACAACCCGCCCAGCGCCCTTCGAATACGAACACAGCGGAGCAGCAGCGCTCCGGGCTCCTGCCTCGGGAAGACCCCGGCTGGCAGGCATTGACCCGTCTGTTGGCCCGCGGCCGGGGTCCCAACCGTCCTGCCCCGACCCTCAGCCCTGACTCGCGTCTTGGGTAGGGGGAGGCCAACCCTGGGGCTCGCAGCGGCGGGCCGGGGGCTGTACTCACAGGCGCTCGGTGCTCCGCGGGATGTTCTTGGGGACGGCCTGCAGCCCCGTGCCGTGGCAGTCCACCGTGGTGCCGCTGCAGGTGCAGAGGGCGGGGCACGCCGAGGCACCCGGGAGGCACGCGGCTGCCCACAGCAGCAGCAGCCAGAGCTCCGGCCGGGACCCACGCTGTGCCGTCAGCGCCATCGTGCCCTCACCGCGTCCGCTCGCGTGCCAGACGGCGGCAGCCGCTGACCATCCCCGTGCGGGGCCGCCTCCAGGTGCAGTCCTGGGCAAAGCCACGCCACAGCCCGCGAGCCCTGCGCTGCGCCCTTGCGGGCTGGGGGGCACCTTGCGGCTTCCAGCGACGGCGCTTGTGCGCGGACCGGGGGAGGGCGCCTTGGGCGGAGGGCGCTCGGCTCCGCTCGGGTTCCTCGCCGCCTGCGTCTCCCTCTCCCTCCCTGCAGCTCCCAACTGACTGCTGCGAGGAGGAAAATGGGCAGGCTCCGCGCGCGCACGCACCCGGCGCACACTCACACACACACACTAGCACTCACGCCCGCACGCCGCTCCCACCCGGCAGAGCGCACACCCAGGGCCAGACTCCTCCCCGCCTCCCCACCCCGACCACCGCCCCCGCCTCCCGACCACCGCGCGGCGGCGGCTGTGAGCCGCGTACAGTTTCAAAGGTGGAACCTCCAGAGCGCCGCCGGCGGGCAGGGGGCTGCGGGGGAGGGAGGGAGGGGGCCGGGCTCGCCCTGCCCGTCCGGCTCTGCGCGCGCGCGCGTACACACGTACAGGCACACACGCGTGCGCCCGCACACACGCACCCCGGCCCGCGCGCTCCCCGCTGCTGACCCTCAGGGGAAGAGGGTGAGATCTTTCCCACAAGGACATCCTCCGCGGGGCCACGCATTACCGCTTCCCCGACGGCAGAAAAGGGCCCTGGCCCTGCCAGTCTCGCCTTGTCAATTTTTGATGAAAGGGAGCCCCCCCACCCCATCCCAGCCACCCACCTTCCCTAGCCTGGGACCTTGAAACTGCTGGCCCCTGGGAGGCCAGGACCCACAGAAGCTCTGGGCCAAACACAACCCCGTCCACCTCCCCTCCCAGCGTGTGTCCTGCGCCAAGATGGCAGCACCTCTCTCCTGGAGGGAACCACGGGATCCAGCTGTTCCCAGGAGATGGGCCCCGCACGGCAGGGTTGCCCACGCCAGCAAACTTCCTCTGCAGACAGGTGGAAGAGGTGCGCATGGTAGAAGGAAGGCAGAGAGGACTGGGCACCCTGTTTGGGAGAGGGCAGTACAGGCCACCCACGTCAGACCCCAGGCCCAGCAGCGCTGGGCAGGGACTGTTCTTATTCTGAGTCAGGGTGGATGTGGATGCAGATTTCCAGGGAGGTACGGTCGGGGGAGGCCCTCCCTGGACCCCAGGACAGCTGCTGCCTCCCGCTGAGCAGCCCAGGAGCTGGCTGCCTGGGGCCTCTGTGAGAGCTGGGGGCCAGCACAGGCCAGCGGGGGTCAGGCTCCCCGAGACCAGAGCCCTGGCACCCGCCAGGACCGTGGCCGCAGGTTTTCTGCGTTTTATTTCCAGCTTGATGAAGGTTTTGCAGTGGCTCTTACTGGCATGACCCAGGCAGAACTGTGGCCAGGACGTCCAGCAGCGTGGCTGACGTCATGGGCCCTTGACGGTTCTCCTGACCTGCCTGGGGCGGCCGTCTGAGCCGCAGGCTCTTGGGGCTGCCGCTGGATTACTCAGGGGGAGGGGGCAGTCTCAAGGGCCCCATGTGGTGTGACGTCCGGGAACCTTCCCAGAGATCAGGTCAGAGTCTAAAAGGCCACCTGCCCCTTCCTCACACCTGCACTCCCAGATCCTTGGGCAGAGAGGAATCCTCACTGCTGGTTCCTCGCCCTTAGCCAGAGCTCTGTGCACTCCTGCTGCTGGCTCGCTCTCAGACGTGGTCTGCGGCAGAGTCCCCCCACCCCAGCCCCAGCCCTGGTGTCCTCGCATCCTCGCTCACCCCAGCTCCTGTCCCTTGCTCAAGCGGTGCCTCCCCAGAAAGCCAGGACTGCGGCCAGGGGGAGGAGGGTTGATCCTCCCTGGGCCCTGGGGTCCCTACAGCAGCAGGGGGAGGGGTGTGAGGAGCGGTGGCAGTGGGCAGGGAGGACAAAACCAGCCCTGCCTCGGGGTTCCCAGAGCCAGCCCCTGCCCCAGAAGCTTCCAGACTAGCCAGGACAGCGAATCGCAAGTAGGCCCTGAGCCAAGTTGTCACTGGCTGGCAAAGGCTGGCCCTTCCTTTGAAGGGAGGGAAGCAAGGAGGCCCCCAGGGACCCAGGACAAAGACACCCCCGCCAGCCGTCACGGGAGGCCCTGCCCCAGCAGCCAGGCAGCTCCCCAACTTGGCTCCCATCCCCAGTTCCTCCACCCCAGAACCTGGCCGGCTCCCCAATTCGGAAGGCAGCACGCCATGAATGAGCACAGCTCATTAGTGTGCCCGGCACATTTACTCGTTAAACAAGCGCCTGGCCACCACACCCCCCCACCCCCTTTGCTTTTTTGATTTCCTCTCCTGTGCCCCTCCCTCTAGGGGTCTCCCTGCCCCCTCCCTGCAGCCCCAGGCCACCTGCTCCCTCTATGCGGGTGGGAGGAACAGGCCTGGCGCCTTGCTTCTGCCAGGAATGCCCCACCAAGCCCGGCTCTGCCACTGGCCGACCAGCAGGGCAGCCCCTGGGGAAGGGGGGAAACCAGGGGTTGGCTCTCCCCAGTGCCTCCACCGAATGCCCTCTGGTCATGTACACGCAGGAGTTGGGGGCCACCTCCTGCCTAGGGCCCACCAGCTTTTGCACCGGGTCCTGTTGTCTGCTCCACCTGCCTTTCTGAGGCACTAAGAAGGTGGAGAGACAGGTGAGGGGGAGAGCACTGTGGTGTGGACTTGGCACGTCTCAGCAAGCACAGTCCGCCAGGCAACAGGAGAACAGGGTCAGTCTGGCGACAGGGAGTGTGGAATTGCAGAGAACCCAGAGTGAGAGTCCACAGCAGGGCTGGAAGGCTCCCTGGAGGAGGAGTCACCTGAGCTGAGTCTTGAAGGATAAATGACATTGACTGGGCACAGAATAGGAAGAAAGGCGTTTCCGGCAAATAGAAGTGTGAGAGGTAACATACACGGACCGGTGCCACCTGCTCCATGGCTGAGCTATGGCAGGTCAAGCCAGGCTAGAGCAGGGCTTGGTGGGGCAGGGGGTGGGGGAAACCAGGAGGTCACAAAGCAGCATCACCTGGCCTGCCCCCATGCTCTAACACCTGCCTGCGTGTGTGCGTGATTGGCCACACTCGGGCATGGGAGCCAGGGTGACAAATGCGCCAGGCGCTTCCTTTCTGCTGTTTGCACTTTTTGCCCCACCACCTCCACACCACCAGTGCATTTTTTTAAATCCCCTGGGGTGCTTATTGTGCATGCTGGTTCCCCAGACCCTCCCAATCAGGATCCTCACTGTTAGCACACCAGGGAAGGGATGAGGAGCCAGGGGCCGAGGGACCCGAAGGCGGGCTGAGGCAGCTGGACATTGTCCTGAGAGTAGTAACGGCCACCAGATGGCTCCCAACAGTACACACGTGGCCTGGAGAAGAGCTTGCAGATCAGCTACTAGAGAGAGACTGCCGGAAGGCTCTGGAAGGCAGAGGGCAACGTCGGTTGTGATACTTTCTCCGTGGGAGCCTTGACCAGCCTGATGGAAACCCTGAAGATGAGCTGACCTCTTGCAGCTGCCCCAGGTGTGGCAAGTGTCTGGCCTGGGTCCCCCGGCCTGGGCAGCCGTTGGAGGGGCACTGCCCCTGGAGGGAGAGGCAGTTTCTCCCACTAAGGGCAGGGCCCAATGAGGGCTGACGGCGGGGAGGGGCTGTGCCTAGGCAGCCCTTCACTCCTCCACACAGGCACCCGCCAGCGCACACACACGCACAGCGTGTCAAAGGCAGCCCCGAGCACGGGGCCAGGCTCACAGGAGGGGCAGCCCACCTGAGGCACTGGGGAGCTTCCAGCGAGCAGAAGCCAAGGCCTGCAGAGTGACCAGGAACCGAGGGGCCAGATGGGAGCGAGGGAGGAAGAGTGCTTCAGGTAGATGGAATGGAGTAGGAGAAGGCTCAGAGGACAGAGTTGGCACAGAGCAGACCAGAGTAGATTTTCAGGAGGGAGGGGAGACCGGAGTGGTCGTCAGGAGGGCAGATGCTGAGGGGTTGAGCAGGTGTCTTAGGGAGCTGGGCTGAATCCCAGGGGAACAGGAAGCCACCTGGGAGTCTCGGCTGGGGCGTGTGGGGAAGGAAGCAGATCCTATACCCAAAACCCACCTGTGAGGAGGAGGCACCTGTGCCAGGAGGGGCCCAGTAATGATGCAGATACCAGAGCTCGTCAGCACGAAGCAGCTGCCACCAGCTGGGCCACTGACCTGTGCCTCTGCACTCAGGGATAGGCACAAGGACCAGGGCTTAGCCGGGGCAGTGCGGCTCCCAACGTCATCACCCCCCACAGTGACAAAGCTGCCTGCTGTAGAAGCCACATATGGCAGGAATAAGCTTTCGGTAACCCTGCAAGGGAGGTGCTGTCGCCACTCCTGACCCCAGCTCCCTGCTCATGCTCATGCCTGGGAGGCAGCAGGTGGTGGCTGATTGGGTTCATGCCACTCACAGGGGAGACCTGGGTGGACTTCCCAGTTCTGGGCTTCAGCCCAGCCCAGTCCTAACCATTGCAGGCATTTGAGAAGTGACCCAGCAGCTGAATCAGTTTCCTCTCTCTCTCTCCAACCCCCCCTTTTAAAATATACACATTTCTAAAAACAACCCATGCAATATTTGCCTTGGTCAGAGAAGCAGGGGAGGTGGGAAAAGCTTGCAATGGTTTTTCAGGGATGACAAAAAGCAGAATTTTTACATTGTTTGGCTGCTTTGGTGTTCAGCAAAGCAGTGTTGGTCCTGGCCAACAAACACTCGCCATGCGGCCCTGGACACTTGCTCCCAGGGGCTGCCACACACACAGAGAGCACACTGCCTCAGGTTCCTAGGAGAGGGATGGAGTGGGGGCAGGGAGACATGCCGGGGCAGCTGGGGCCATCTGGACCATTCCTGGTGGGGGTGGTGGCATTTACTGAGGGGCTCAGAGCAAAGGGAAACTGTGCGCCTCTGTTGGATCAGGCAGAACCCAGGCTGTGGGCAGAAGGGGTGGGGTGGCACAGTGGCCCCCTGGGAAGTACAGGCACCACGGGTGAGGGCTCAGGGCAGCCCAGCATCCAAGGAAGTGCTTCTCTTCCCTGGGCCAGCTCAGTCACCCCAATATCCAGCCATACCTTCAGCGCCCCTCAGTAGATACAGACCCATGATGCCTGACACCTCACAGCTGGCTGCGTCTTCAGAGAGAACCCCAGCAACCCCCATCTTCGCGACAAGGAAGCAGAGCCCCTAGAGAGGTGACTGACCCAAGGTCACAGATTGCGGCAGAGTGGACACCCCCTCCCCTGCTCAGCGCCACACTGTGTACTGACATGGCACCTTCCTGGGCCCCCCTGCCTGTTAGCTCTGTGCCGCTCACTTGAGCAGTCTAGCACCTAACACCACGGAG